TTTGCTACTGTTGACTTTGCCCTAGGATACATATCCAAAAAAATATTATGAATACCTATGTTAAGTAGAATCTAAAAAACAAAACAAATAAACAAAACAAAAACAAACTTATATACACAGAGAACAAATTGATAGTCTCCAGATGGGAGGAAGGTTGGGGTGGGGGGATAAGTGAAAATGGTGAATGAGAATAAGAAGTACAATTTGCCAGTTATAAAAGTAGAAATGAGGATTTAAATTACAGCATAGAAAATATAGTTAACAATGTATGGCATCAGATGAATAGTAGACTCTCGCAATGATCATTTGGCAAAAGTCCATAAATGTCTAATCACTACATTGTACACCTGAAACTAAAATAATATTGTATATCAACTGTAATAGAAGAATAATGGCTTAAGATAAAGTATTTTCAAGGAAGACATTAAGACAACTGTGTTACACTATGTTTGGACTTCCTCTTATTTACACTTAAGCCTAGAATTTCTCTTTGGGTAAATCAACGGCTAAATCCAAGACTATTTTTTATTGCTGAAGATTCTTGCAAACCATGAAGAGATGTTCTCACAGAGCAGAACCCCCCAGCTGGATAAGGCCCGTATATATATTTGTAAGCCTTGCAATGTGACAGGTAGCATCACTATATATGCAATAGTTGTTATGTAGACTGTCAAAGAATTTTTTTTCCTGGATACATTTGAAGCTTTGAGTGTTCAAGGTTTTCCTTAATAATTTCACACAGCCAAATTCTTGAATCAGTTAATCTAACCTGTATGTTACTGTTATTAATGTTTACTCTGTGGTCTGAACCTGGAGATTACTGGAATTGTTTTCCAAGAGGAAATAAATTCAGTTTACCATTAGGGTTAGGGTTAGGGTTAGGTTTTAAGTCTTAGTTATTTTAAAAATAGTAAAATTGTAAGTTTAGTTATGTAGAGTTAACCACAATAATAAGAAAAGTGGATGAAAAAATGGCATTCATCTAAACAGAAACAATAAGATAATTAAATTGATATACTAGAAAATATCTAACACAGAATAAAGCAGCAATGGAAGAATAGAGAACCAAAATAGACATAATATATATAGAGAACAAATAGCAAAATGTCAGATGTAAATTATACCTTCTCAGTAATTTCACTGAATATAAATTAATAAAATACTCCAGAGATTGACAGGATATGTAAAACAAACCGAAAACCATGATCCAATTCTATGCTATTTATAAGAGACACAGCTCATATTCAAAGACACAATAGGTTAAATGTAAAATATTGTAACCAAAAATAAAGTTGGAGTAGCCATACTAATATTAGACAAAAGAGACTTTATCAAAAGCATTGCTATAGATACAAAGGGACATTTTATAATGATAAGTCAATCCATCAGGAAAATATAAAAACTGAAACCCACAATACATGAAGCAAACACTACAGAACTGGAAGGAGAAATTGACAATTTAACAATAATAGTTGAAAATAATTTTCTTTTCAGTAACAGGTAGAAACAGTAGTCAGAAGATCAATAAGGAAATAGAAGACTTGAAAAAAACTATCAAACAAATAAGCCTAGAACTATCTATAAAACAATTGCTTAAAAAAACAAGAGAATGCACATTCGTCCTAAGAACACATGGGATCTTCTCCAGGCCAGATGATACGATAAACCATAAAGTAAGCTTAAAAACATGTAAAGTGATTGAAATAATGAAAATGTACATTGATAAAGTGATTGAAATAATTAAAAAGTGCATTACTCTACTACAATATAATTATACTGAAAAGAAACCATAGAAATAAAATTAGGACATTCACAAATGTGAAAATTAAACATTATACTTTTAAATAACCAATAAGTAAAAGAAGAAATCAGAAAATACTTTGAGATAAATAAAAATACAATATACCAAAATTTATGAAATGCAGCAAAAGAGGTGCTTGGGAGGGAATTGCTATATTTTTTTAAAATCTCAAATTAATAACATAACATTCTACCTTCAGAAATAGAAAAAAATATTCAAAAGTAAAGCAAATACTAAGAAGTAAATGGTAAAGATTACAGTGCAAAGTACAAGAAAACAAAAAAGATTTTTTTTTTATTGATTTCAGAGAGAGAGGAAGGGAGAGGGAGAGAAAGATAGAAGCATCAATGAGAGAGCATTGACTAGCCACCTCCTGCATGCCCCACACTGGGTATCGAGCCCACAACCTGAACATGTGCCCTGACCGGGAATCGAACCAGCAACCTCTTGGTGCATGGTTCGACACTCAATGACTGAGCCACACTTGCCAGGCAACAACAAAAAATTTTAACTTGCAAGGACAACAGTGTGGTGGTTGGGGGTGGGGGTGGCGGAGGGTGTAGGGGGATAAATAGTGATGGAAGGAGACTTGACAGGGTGAAGAACACACAATACAGTGTGCAGATGATGTGCCCATGAAATCTGTATAATTTTGTTAACCAGTCACCCCAATACATTCAATACAAAAGAAATGAGCATTAAAAAACAATCAAACTGATGCTTTCCAGAGGGGAGGGGGTAGAAGGACGGGTGAAAAACATGAAGGGAAATAAAGTCAGCAGTACTGTGATAACTACTCTCTGGTGACAGTTGGTTACTAGACTTATTGTGATAATCATATAGTAAAGTGTATAAATATCATATCACTAGGTTGTATACCCAAAACTGATACAATATTGCATGCCAACCATACTTAAATAAATACATATGTTATTAAAAAATAAAAATAATTCAATAAAACTGAAAGTTAGTGTTTTTAAAATCTCAATTAACTAAATTAGCCAAGAAACAAGAGGGGATGTTATCACATCTTTTTTTCCCCTGATTGCAAGGACCAGAGCCTTGCTCCCTGTGACAGGTTCTTTTCATGGGAACTGTTTTTAATGGTTGCAGAAGTCATCAGATGCAGACAGTTGCACCTCTCCTTCAGGTGCACTCAATAATGCAATTGCTAAAGTTGAAATGATCTCTCAGAGATCATTTAGAAAACAGTTCAAGGCCATTAAGCAGACATTTATAGGGTTACTCATGCTAAAGATCTTCTGGAGCTTTCCATTGCAGCTTCTCCTCAATTATTATTTTTAATGTCTATTTAAAAAGAGACTCATAGAGTAGGAAAGATTCTCCGCTCCTATCGCCTGCCAACCAATGGTAAGAAGATGGAGGAGCCCATATGAAGAGGTCAGTCTACGTGATGGGATAGATTGAGTTGGAAGAGAAATCATTTTCTAATTTTTTCTACTTAGGGACATATTTTTATTAACTTCATTTGTTCCTTTCTGAGAGAGAATAATTATAGCCAAAAGGAACTTCAGATTCATTCATCTGTGTGAGCATCAAAGCAAAATTCTGTTCTCAAATTATAGATTATCTAAGAGACTTGGATCTTGTAATGGATAAAGCAACAAGATCCATCCAACCTCCATTCTGAGAGGCCGCAGTGATACATGGATCTGTCCGCATTTGCAGCACAGACATAAAAACAACAGCTGAGTTATCTTAATAGAACTAAGACGACCGACCATTTGGTGTGCTTGCACATTTTCCCTTTTAAAAAATTACACATGCTGAATTTTATTGTTTTGCTCACTAAACCCTATCAATCTCCATGAGCTTATAATTACGAAAATATTATACTTGGAGGGACTCCCTGCTTTTATCAAATAACTTTGAACAGAAATGGAAAAGTACAAGTTGTATAACTGTCTTTACAAATTCCAGGTATTTGAAATGTTAATATAAGACCACGAGGGATTGTCCGTGTTTCTGTGTGCCTGTTAAAGTGCCAGACCATAAAACTGGTTTCATCACAATATGTAGTAAGCAACAGAGAATATTTTCTTTATTTTTTAATTCTCTTCATTCAAAGGTTTGCATTGGCCAAACTTGAGAAGCCAAAAACCTAATAAAAAGCAAAAGGTAGTTAAGTCCAATCTCTCCATCTGGCAGCAGGTGGCAGTAGTGATACATGAAAAATCCATTCAGGTGCCTTGCAGTTAACCTGCTAGGTTTTCCTTCTCTTTCAACTTAGGTATCTGAGCTGAACAAGAATTCCTAAGAAGATAATATGGTCATCATCCCTTTACTGTTCTAACCCCGTTTTATTTCTCTCTCTCTTTTTTAAATGAAGAGTTTGTTTTTATTTTGTTTTTGTTTTGTTTTGTTTAGAGCAGTTTTGGTTCACCGCAAAATCGAGTAGAAGGTACCCAGAATTCCATTTGCCCCAGTTCCATTTTTGTACAGCTTCCCCATTATCAATACCCACCCCCAAAGTGGTTACAATTGATGGCCCTACATTGACACATCATAATCACCCGGAGTCACATTCCACCTTAGGGTTCACGCTAAACGTTGTACATTCTATGGGTTTGGACACAGTATCCAAATGCATTTTATAATGTATAATGACATGAATCCATCATTAGGGTATCATACAGGATATTTTCATTGCCCTAAAAATCCTCTAGACTTTGCCTATTCATCCCTCTCTACTTCAGCCCCTGGCAATCACTAACCTTTCTGATGTATTCATAGTCCTATCTTTTCCAGGATGTAATGTAGTTGGAATCATATACTATGTAGCATTTTTAGATTTGCTTCTTTTATTTCGTAATATGCATTTAAGGTTCCTCTTTTTTTATGGCTTGATAGCTAATTTCTTTATAGCATTGCATAATATTCCTTTGTCTGGATATACAACTTCTCTTTTTATAAAGAGATATCTTTTCCATTTGCAGCTCTCTTTAGACCCTGACAAAATTGTGATTTTTCCACATTTTTTCCATTCAAACTCCTTTTTGGCACTTGAATGGATTTCTCAAGAACATGCTCCATTCAGCAAGCGTTCTGGGGAAACAGGCTCTTCAACCTCTCAGACCACGGGTGTCTGAGACACTCTCCTTACTGTGTCGTAGAATTACTTCTCCAAAGTGGAACTTCCCGAAGTCAGATAGCAACAGAGGGTGTCCACTTCTTTCAGATCCCTGGAACCTCATCAGTAGTTCAGAGGAAATGGAAGCCACTGCAGCCCGTTTCGCAGCCTCGAGGGTCAGGACAGCAGACCAAGTCCAGGATTAGCGCTGTGGCTGCTGAAATAAAGCAGATCCGAGCCCGACGAAAAACAGCCCGGATGCTGATGGTTGTGCTTTTGGTGTTTGCAATTTGCTATCTACCAATTAGCATCCTCAACGTGCTAAAGAGGTAATGTTCACCTATTATTTGAAAATGAAGTGACCTGTCATTTCTTGCTTCTTAAGAACTTTTTTTTTTTTTAAGCCAGAGAAAACCAAATCTCTCTGTCTAGATAGCTTGTCAGACTTTGATAACTGTGTTGTTGTTACCAACAGGTAAGGCAAATACCCTTTTGGAGTGCTCAGACGGTACATGCCCCTGTCCACGCAAATTCTCTGTTGAATGGCAGACACAAAGCAGATGTCCCCTGACCTCTCCAAGCGTATTGCCAAAAATTTTTCTAATGCAAAGAAACTCATTTACAGCTTGGAGTTCTCTTTTGATCAGAACAAATGAGCGTTCCAAAACTTTGTTTTCAAAGACAGGGGGAATTGTGACAGAATTCTACCTCATGGATTAAAAAGAGATAAGAATGTTCTGCGAGCATTCTAATTACACTTACAAGTACACTTGTGAGCACATGCGTAAAAAATGAAATCACAACACAGACTGTGTTTTGAATGTTTAAACAGAAAGAAAGAAAATCCATTTCCTAAAGTCATTGAATCAAGCTCAGGGTGAATGTGAATAAAATAAAAAAAAATACAAATTTTTTCAGCCAGAGAAAGTATGTCATGTGTTACACTGCAAACACACTATTAAGTTCACACAACTGACCAATGCAACACGGTGATGCAGGGGCACCAGCACCCTTGACCTTCACGCCGGCCAACTTTATTGGGAATCATCAGAACCGTTGCGCATAGACTGGCCCCAAGGTAATACTAATTCTGTTTATAATAGACTTAGAACTACAACTAGGATTGCTGCTCTCACTTTTCCCTGATTCTGAGTCCATATCATGTTCCTCACAGCTGGGGACTCTGGAGAGAGCTTTGGCTGGAGTCACACAGACTAAAGGTGGTAGAATCAGCTGCAAAGATTTCTCATTCTCTTTGGCCCTTCCATTGATTGCTCCATGACTTGTTCAATGGAGAAAAAGTGGTAAATGCACTTTCTGTTTAGTAATATTATTTACTGCAGACACCGTCCCAAACGTGAACTATTTCAGCCGTTTGGATCCTTGAGAACACACTAGTTCACAGGAAAATGAGCCATTGGACTCTCTGTATCTTTTATAATGTCCTAATTTTCCTTGCCCACAGCAATCCTATATACATTTATGGTGCTCTTTTGCCAAATGAAGTTTTTCTGCCCTTAAGAACTTTGTAAATATGCTGTGAAACTGGATGGGTTTTCTTTGTTCTTTTTCTTTTTTTCTTTTCTTTTCTTTTTTGACTTTTATTTTAGTTCATCTAAATTCTGTGATAATTAGATTCACTGCTCCCTGGATTGTTAATTTGGATTTCCTGCAGCTCAGCACTTATACTTTCCTTTAGCTATTTCCAAATACCTACTCGTCTGTAATATTTCTCTTATTCTTCCGACTTAAATACCTACCTTTCCAAGGGAAGAAAATTGATTTCTAAGGAGAAAGTCCATGTTTAATTTTAAAAATTTTCTATTTTTTGAGCATTCCGTTTGTTTGCACAAAATAAAAATAAATAAATGAGCTCAAAACTCATTTTTCTCTTTACCACACACACTTTCTCCAAATGTGCATCACTCTGTTTACCCTTGCATATTATACTGATTTTCTTTCTCAAATAAATTTCTAAATTCCTTTCCTAGAAACTTAATTTTTTGCCAGACTAGTCGAAACCAACCTTTTACAGCAGTTACAGCCATTCTGATTGACTAGGATTTCAAAGCTGTATCGTGGTTGAGAGTCATAACATTATTAATTACATTTGTTCATGTTTCATTTCATATTGTAGTTTTACAAAACTCCAGTACTCCATCGAGCATCACTGTATTCCGGAAACGCATTTCAATCATGGACACAAATTACACAGTGACTGATGACATTCTGACAGGAAATGCATTATAATCTTCAGCCTATAAATTTATTGAGTAGTTGAAAGTTACCTGCTGTTGGCTAGTGTTAGATAGATGGCATATTTCTAAATATGAAACAAATCTTTAAAATGACCATTCAGGATATCATAATGAAATATTTTTTCACAGTTAAAAATAATAAAAAATCAAAAAACGTGAATTTAAAGAAATTACCAGACTTTTTCCTACTGAGAGCCAGTTCTTCTAGGAGTATAAAAGAAGTCCCAGGGACAAATTTAACATGCCTGGAAATATTAAAGTTGAAGAAATGCAGTACTTTGATCAATGTACAAATGAAAGTAGAAACTCTTATAGGCTGCAATTTAGGACTGCTTTTTAAATGACACCCACAATGGAATATGAACCAACACTGCACAATTGTATTTAGAGACAAAATGAAAAAAAGGTAGATATATCTGCAACTTCTGTACTCTTACATAGAAGAAATACTATTGCATTTGCTGTTTACAGGAGAGAGAGCCCTTCTTCTCGAATCTGATTTGACTTTTTGATTTAGTAATTGTGCCATAGAGTTTCTGTTCATGTGCTGGTTATTCTAAACCCACTAGAGTGCCATAAACCTATTAGTGGAGGACAGGGGTCAGGCAGCTTCTATCGAGGGCTTTGTTCACCTTTGAATTTAATTATTGAAAAGGTATTCTCCAGAATCACACTAGATTTCCTGTTACCGTTTCTTTTCTTACAGAGTATTTGGGATGTTTACCCACACGGAAGACAGGGAGACTGTATATGCCTGGTTTACATTTTCACACTGGCTTGTATATGCCAATAGTGCTGCGAACCCAATTATTTATAATTTTCTCAGTGGTAAGTTTTCAACTGTTTCTTCTACGTAAACCATAGTTCTAACCAAGGGCGAGGGACCAATGACCAGAGGTTCTGAATACACTTGAACTGGATAAAGAGCTTAGATGCTCGACAATGAGAATTTTTTTTCCCTGATGGGATTTGTCTGGAGGTTTTTCCCTTATGAGTAGGAACACATTACCTAAGTCATCAGAGAAAATAATCGAAGGGATATTTTTCCCCATAAAATTTGGAAGAAATGTTGAAATAGGAGGAAAGTAAAAATTGTGAGAACTGATTGCCACAGAATCTTGCTTGTCATACATTAAACTTTAATTTATAAAAATGTAAAATAAGTTTATCTGAATATAAAACAGTCATGCTATATTATTTCCTTGGCCAACATTTGTAGCCTAATTGAGACTGAATTAGAACCTTTCTACTTTTAGGTACTTTTCTATTTACATTAATCTTGTGGGTAACATCTTTTGGGTTTTTCTCAAGATTTCTCACTGACCACAAAAAAAATGACATTTCTCCTAAATAACACTTAAGTTAAATCACACACACACACACCTCTCTGTGACTTATTTAACCTGTTTAGAAATCTATACAATGATAAAAAAAAATTATTTAACAAATTGTTGTTTAATTTACAAAAATTTTGCCTGAGCCCCACCATTGTGGCTCAGTGGATTAAGCATCGTTCCATGCACTGGGAGGTCCCAGTTTAAGTCCCAGTCTGGGCACATGCCCTGGATTTCAGGCTCGATCCCCAGTAGGGGGTATGCAGGCAGCAGCCGATCAATGTATCTCTCTCCCATGGATGTTTCTGTCTCTCTCCCTTCCTCTCTCTCTAAAAAAAATCAATAAAAACATATTTAAAAAACAAACAAACAAACATTTTGCCTGATTGACTTTTAGAATTGTGTTTTAATTAGCTACATCTTTACATTGTCTCATTTTCTAGCTAGTTGGCTATTTCTTTTTTATTTCTACCTCCAAATATGTGATCATTATATATGGAGTAATAAGCAATTCATTTTATTGCACATTTAATAAAGTATGTACATTTTGTAACTTTGTATTTGGCCTCCTGGGTTATAAAAATAAAAAAAGACAAAAAGGCAACCAACCAGTCAATAATTTTGTTCTCAAGCATTGCATACACCCTATATATATTATCTATTTTATTTCACCTTTCATAAAATCAGGTGGTGTGAATGTAATGTTTGTTTTGTGCTCAGTACCCCCTTTTCATGCCTTCCCCTGCCACATCCAATTCTAATTTCCAAAACGAAGACGACTTTTGGTCTGAGACACCCAGATAAGACTGCTCACGAGCTGTGAAGGAAGAAGGGGCATGTGAACTGTGGCTTAGCAGGCAGTGGGGGAGCAAAGGGTGAGGGGTAGCTAAAGTCTGAGCCTTGCACTAAGCAGGTAAATAAAGTTGTAGAGGGAAACATTTGAAACAGAAGCCACAGAACAAGTTAAGTGCAATTATGTGGTTAAGCACAAGGCAGGGAAAGCGACTGAAATCACTGGGGACTTATGTCCCTGCTATTGTGTTGGCCCTTAACCTTCACCTTCCCATTTAATCACTCAATACCCACAATTTGGTAATTGGCATTCAAAGAAAAGAAATGATGATTCCAACACTGCCGTCTACCCTTATAAAGGGAATGATTTCATTTTCCTACTCTCTCACTTCATGTCAGTAATTTAAAGACAAGGAACAACTTCTAAAGTTGTGATTTTTACATCTCTTCTGCCTGTGCGGATTGTAAAACTTTAGAGACTTTGTAGATATTTTAAGATATTTTTGTAGCTATTTTGGTCAACTGATTGTTTCAGTAGAGCAGTTTCTTCAGAGTAAAATTGGGTAACGTCTGTATCATTTGGGCTGTGTCCAACATAATAAGTTTTATTGTTTTTGAAATTATTAAATATTTCTACACATTCTTCTACTGATGATCACTTTAAAAAATGTTTTTATTGATTTTTTTAGAGAGCGAGAGGGAGGGAGAGAGAGATGGAAACATCGCTGTGAGAGAGACATATTAATCAGCTGCCCCCTGCAGGCCCCCTACTGGGAATGGAGCCCACAACCGGGCGTGTGCCCTGACCAGGAATCAAACTGGCACCTCTCAGTCCATGGGGCGATGCTCAATCCTCTGAGCCATATTGGCCAGGCTGATGATCACTTTATTATAGTTAACTACTTAGCATTCACAAATATATAAGCTTTGACTCAAAAGGAATGAAATAGATCCCAAATATCATGCATAAAAAGCAGTCTCATTATTTTGTGAAAATACCGTATTGTTTCAGGAGTCTCCCAAGCTTCCCATACCGCAATTTCCTCTTCCCATTTCCCCCATCTCTGCAAAATGTGGCACCTCATTGTTAGTTTGGCTCAAGGGAGCAACTCAGTTGTACCCTACTCAGGATTTGTTAAAACATATTTACGCACAATTCTTTTTTCTTTCATTCTCCCTGGTTTGCCAGGAAAATTTCGAGAGGAATTTAAAGCCGCATTTTCTTGCTGTTGCCTCGGAGTTCACCATCGGCAGGAGGATCGGCTCGCCAGGGGGCGGACCAGCACCGAGAGCAGAAAGTCTCTGACCACCCAGATCAGCAACTTGGATAACATATCAAAACTCTCAGAGCAAGTTGTGCTCACCAGTATAAGCACAATTCCTGCAGCAAACGGAGCAGGACTGCTTCAAAACTGGTAGAATATTTATCGATATGACAAGGATACCTGAGCGAAACTACTCTTGCTTTTTTTTTTTTAATCTTTGTTCACAGAAATTTTATTGGAATTATCTGAAGCTAAAATGACTTTGTGGACCCATTTTTGAAAGAAAAAAAAAACCCATTGATCTTTGGAAATAAAAGTCAGTTTAAACTAATTACTCAACTTTTGATTTAAATATGTTAGAAGTTTAACCTTTCCCTAAATTTATTTCAGGCTAGTTCACTTTTAGTTTCCTGTATCATGATTTGTGTCAATTAAATGCTTAAGCATTTCCAATTCTAATTGCTATTTCAATCTCACATTCAAACTGGTTGCTAAAAATTACTAAAAGTTATCCAATAATTTTCTTTTGATAGCTAAAAGAAGTAGCAGTTACTAACTCTGAATTAAAGACATGTTAGTTGACTTAATTGTAAAAAAAAAAAAAACAACATAAAGGATTGTCGTTTTGATGTCACATCTGAAAGAACATTTATTTAAAAAATAGCTTATTATATTAGATAACTCAAAAGCCACCTTTCAAAACTATATAAAAAGAAATGCTATTAAACTTTATTTTTCATGAATTTTATCACTCAGTAACACAATTTTCTCAGGTTTGTAACTTTGCCATTGCTAACATTTCTCATCTCAACATATGGCCAGTAAGACATAGTATTAGAATATCGATTTGGGAGTAACTACGAATACATAATAATTTTCATCTCTAAGATTTCAGCATTCAAGAATACATTATTATACTCTTCTAACCAGTGAAAATAATGTAGTCGGCCTTGGTGGATTAAATTAAAAATGTAATTTACCAAGAAAAGTAGTGGTGGACTGTTAAATCACAGCTGGGTTCCCTACTGGGCAGGTTAATGCCATGACATTTGATGGTAAACATTTGCTTTTGTTTAAATTCCATAAATATTTATCAAAGTCCTAAGGCAAAGCACCAGCTGTGCTAGGTGCTAGCAAATGAGGTGGAGGTGGATGTAAATGTGCCTTTAACAGAGCTCAGGTCTACAGAGGGAGGCAGGCTGGAGAGTCCGCAGGGCAGCAAAGCATTCTGGGGGATGGGTTCCGCCCGTAGAGCAGGGACGCAGCCAGCGATGCTGTTCCTCACCGACAGGTTGGCACTTTTCTTGTTTCTATTTAATTAAAGTGACACTGTTGATGTCAGCGAATGCCGCTGGGCCTGTGGCTAAGAGCCAGGTGATCAGGCTAATGGAGGGGCTTGCTCTTCACCTACACACAGATGAATAGGCATGCAGTGTATTTTGTGCAAATGTAAGCTCTGGGGTTCAAAGCACTGAATAGTTCACATTTGTTTTCCTGCAAAATTTTCCTGGTTCCAATATTCACTTCAAAATTTAATTGAAAGTAAATAATGTTTTCATGAAAACTTGCTCCTCTCATATTATAGTAGCAGGTGTTCTTATTTTACTGAAACAAGACACGGAGAACAACATTTAAGAAAGCTTTTCATACATGAAAATTATCTTTTTTTTTTTTTTTTTTTTTTTTTTTTGCTTGCCTGCTTTTATCCAACTCATCACTTTCAGAAAGAAATAGTACAACCAAATTATCCACAAGTTGTTTTCATATTTTAGAACTGGGGATTACTTTGTCCTTTTTACTATTCAGAGCAAAAACTACTCTCACATATGAGGTTTATTGAAATTATATTGCTAGTTAGCAAAACAATATCAATGAAAACAAGGTATTTTAAATCTATTCCGTCTCCCCTTTGTACATTTGAGAACTTTGTTCTTATTTATGCTGCATGAAAGGAGAGTTGGGCTTTTCAGATTGTGATGGAAGCTAGCACTTTAAATTGTTTGAAGATAACTTCAGATAACGTTGATAAAATGCCTTAATAGCTAAGTAATATCTCAGAGTAAGAGCTAAATCCCTTAGACCCTAATATATCTCGTTCTTTATCATGTAAGAATGAGAGAAATAGAGAGGAAGAGAGGGCAGGAGGGGGAGAGAAAAGAGAGAGGGCTCTGTTGTGTGATTATGTGCCAAGGCTGACTCAGAAGTCAGAATTCCTTTTCTCTAAAGCAGTGATTCTCAAAGTATGGTTCCTGAACCATCAGCATCAGCATCAGCATCACCTGAGATCTTATTAGACATACAAAGTTCCACCCTATCCCAGATCTGCTGAATCAGAAACATTGTGGGTGTGTCAGGAATGTGTGTGTTAACAAGCCCTACAGGTGATACTGAAGCACTTTCAAATTTGAGAACCACTGCTCCAAACAATACCACCTGGCACCTGTTTATCAGCCCATGTGATATACAGTATTTTACTGCATAGGTATCAACAATAGGGACCACTATTATTCCTACTGTTGACCTGGTTGAAGGTATGAAAGAAGAGGCTGAGGGTCAGTGTTGAATGTCACTCGATGTCATCTCAACAAGACTATGCTGTATGAAACAATTGTCCCTGAGTTACAAGTGCAGTATGAAAGAAGACAGATTTTAAAGCCTGTATGTATTTTATGGCTACCTGGATGACTTGAGTTTCTAACAAAAAACTTTCAAATTTCCAATACTGTTGACACTTATTAAGTCTAAGTTTGTGGAAGCAGTTTCTAAGAATAAATATTACCTGGGAGGTAAAGCAAACAAACACCAGTTTTTATGAGAAATGGAGGGAGTGGAATAATAGACTGTGCACACTGCTCTCAACACGTTAATATAGGAATCTTTCTAAGAAGTCTGGATCTAAATACTCTTACCTTAATGGTTACCTTAAAGGAACAAGGTAAAGAAATAGGTGTTCCCCATACCTGCCAATCTATGGAACAAAGGGTCAACTACTTACCTCATTGTGTGCTAATAACACAAATGAGAAGATGTCTTATAAAAGAATGTGTTGTGACTGTTTTATGCTATACATAGAATATGTATCTTCTTTTATATTTCAAAGATTTGATGTAAAATGTCATTAATGTTACTGAAATTTGTTAATAGAATGAGATAATTTTATCTACTATAGAATCCATTTGAATTTCATTATTTCTGAATTTCTACAAACCCATGAAAAGTTTCATGGTTGAATTTATTCTTGGCAAAATATGACTTCAGTTTCTGAGGGAAATGACTTCTAAAATCTTCAAGGCTTGGGGCATTTCTTGGATATTAAACAACTGTTATAGATCATCGATGGATTAGTTGCAAAAGTGTTAGGCACAATGATATTGAATTACATTCCCAGTGTACATTGTTTTAATGAAGATACAGGTAAATATGCCTATGAAAAATAGTTTGATTATACACAAACCTGAAATATCAGGATGACACACCCTGACGACACTTATGGACACAGCTGTGAGGGGGGCTATTATTATTTTAATACCAGTGTAGTGATAAAATGTTTCACTTGATATAAATCATAATAGCAATCACTTGCATTTCAAAAAAATCTGGATGGTCATTACAATTTAGAAAGCTTTTCAATTCTAGTTAATTTTACAGCAGATGACTTTTCTACTTTCTATCAGTTACAAGTCAAAAAAAGAGTACATTCGATTAGGTCATGTGCAATTAGTTTTCAAATGGCATGAAGAAAAATAATAGATTTTTTAAAAACAATATGTAAACAGAGAAAATATAAGTCTATTCTATTACCTTACGTACCACAGAAAATGAACTGCAAAGGCATGAAAAACACTATCATCTCCCGAAATCCAAAGGGGATTGTTTTCTAGAGATGACTGCAATGAAAGAGAGGGCAAAGAGCTCCCTCCCAGTTGCCACATATTTCTATTATCTTATGTTTTCCTTATGAACTTTGGAGTTAGAGTGTCTTTAAGTTGTTCATGAAATGTATTTCTGTAACTGTCATAACCCAAGTGTGTAACGTTATGTCACTTATTTAATAATGATCTTATACACTTAAAGTTCTTTATGCCTGATTTACTGTGTCTTCATGAAGAAGTTTTTTAACGAATCCAATGGGATAGCACAACGACTGTGAAGGATGTTCGTTATGTCATTTTTAAGTAAAAACTGTATTGAGAATTCAATAATCACATTCACACTGTCCTCTGTATTGTATGAAAAATCCTGTGGTTATTGATTAGATAAGTTGGATATTCCCTCATAACTAGTGTCAAGTCTTTGCAGTTAAGGATTGAATTAAACCCTCTGGTACTGTACTTAATAACCAAATATTTTTCCCAATAAGTTTACATAAGCAGGGTTAATCATGATATAAAAGGTTTTTAATGTTGTTTTAAGAGCAGGGACTGTAATAAAGATGGTTAACATTAATACAGAAATATTTCATAAAAATTATGTAAAAGCACATATTATACATAAAGCATTAAATTTTGAAGCTTTTATCTGAGTCAAAGACTTAGAGAAAATGATGACCTTGTAATTTTCAATTTATTTTTAGACTAGTAAGTAAAGCATTTACATAATTAAGCTTTTTTTTTTTTCTTGGTCATTATATATAAAACTTTCAGCACTGTTTTAAGTTTAATGATAGATTGTAAAAATGTGTATTTTCTGCTTTTCATTTATTTAAATGCTTCTGAGACACAACAGAATCGACTACCAAGGCTTTTGATTTAAAATTCATCTTTATCCAGCACTGTTTATTTTAACTTGTATCGAAAATGGGGCCGCAGTACGTGGACAAGGTAAATACTTGACTCCTAGTGAATATGATATGAGGATGTGGTGGTTTCTAAAGACAAAGTGAGGTTCTCAGGGAACATTATGAGAAAGACCAGCTATTTCATGGTGAGATGTTTTGCTTTAAGGAATCAATTAGCACAGATTAGATACTTGCCGCTCCTCCTCCTGAAGTCAGCAGGGAAGAGAGACCAGGTGTCTGCACTTCCATCCAAAGATGCTGATGGTTCAGGAACCATACTTTCATGGCCAGGATTGGGAAGAAGGGCAGCAAAGAAAAGTTTCTTAAAGGACTTCTCTGGCCTTGCCCTGCTTGCACTGTTTCTCCCTCTTCAGGTGTCGTTTTTACCCCAGGCCTATCCCCAAGCTAAGCATGGCTGACCTCCCTCCACAGCCTGCCCTGTCCTGCAAGTTCCTTGACCTTCCTTCAGCCCAACCCCAGACAATAGGATGAGTCATTGCCTGAGGTGGTTATCTCCTGTGGTCAACCAATGGCAAGTGGCTAATTAGAG